TAGAAATACGTATAGTGTCACAACCACACCAACACTCATGTACTAAATATTACAATAACTTGACAATTAAGCGACCATTTTCTCCAAACAATATCCAAAAATCTCTTTCTTGAAATATTCTTATGTTGCACCCCTTTCTTAGGAAAATATTTATGATAATATCTATGAATATTATTATATTGATTCCATTCATATTATACTCTTGTCCATCGTTGAATCCTAATGGCCGATGAAGTCGAGACAAGAAATCGTGTAATAATTGTGACTCAAGTTTTTTTTTCTCATAAAGTTACTAGACTAATTTGTTACTAAATAAGGGGATGCGCAAATCATTAGTGGGAGACAATATATAGTCTTAACTAGATGTATCATCTTCAATTCGAGTATCCATTGTGCAATGTTAATACTTCATACACGAACCAGTGTATATAGTACTATTCCTACCGAATATACTTACTGCTGTCAACATTTTTCAGGAGGTCAAATTAAAAGTTGGATAAACAGGTCCAACAATATTCTTTAAAAATTGAAGCTCGAACTCATTTTTTATCATATATGCTAATAATCACTATGATTGGTTATCACAAGCCAAAAATACATGAGTCTTTGTGTGTGTCACAAAGTAGTAATTATAAGTATTGAATATAATTAAATGAGTTAAAGATAATGATACCAAAACAACCTTTTTGTTTTATTCTATTTTAGATATTGTTATTAAAAGGTACATTGCATATTTGGTGTACAATCTTTGACCATGGATATTATTACCCTCAATCTTACATTATTAGCACCCCAATCACCATTTTGTGAGAAAAAATGGTTACATTTCATGAAGAGATAATTTTCCCTCTAATAAATTCAAATAAAGTGAGTAAATATAAAAAGGAAAAGAAGGGAAAAAACGGAGAGAAAGAAGTTAGCCCTTCTTTGGTTTATATATAAATCATATTTAGAGTTCGATAAAAATTGATGAAATACGTAATTGAAAAGTTGAGTCTCATAAAACGTATGATTAAAATTTTGACTAAACAGGGGCTTCTTCTTGAATCTTGAACGTGAAGTCCCACGGTGATGGCCTATGCTGACATCAAAATATGTCCATAGTTTGAATGAAGTGGTGGTTGTGTTCAACATATGAATGAGAAAACATCAGTCCCGAAGTAACAAGATTTCGAGATTGTCAAACATTTTGACTGTGGATTGAGTTTGACTTCAACAACCTATGACACTATTTTGGACCCCTGCCCCATAAGCTCATCCCTTCCTCTAAATCGCCACAATTGAAATTATTGATAGAAATCTAGTCTCTGTTTGACCATCATTAAAAAGAGTTTTTGTTTTTTTTCTTCCCAGAAAATGTATAGTTAAAAATAGGGATGGCAACGGGGCGGGGCGGGGCGGGAGTATGTACATTCCCAGTTTATTCTCCCGTTTAATTTTTTTTTTTTTTTAGTTTTTGATAATTTATTTTTATTGTTCATATTAATTAGATTTAGACAAATAATTTTTTTTTTTTTTTTGATAAAATGTATAGTTAAAAATATAAATAAATTTTAGATTCATATACAGAATATTTTATTGTGAAAATATGGTTGAAAATTAGTTTTAGAAAAAAAAAAAGAATTTTAAATATGATTGTCACATGGGCTTAACAAAAAAATAGTAATTATAAATGGAAAATAGAGACTATTAAACAAAAATAATCAAGGACGCATAAACGATTTGGAGTTCACACACAACATTACCGACTCAACCACTAAAAAGCATCAAGATCTTATTGAAAATAGGCTCAAATTGTGTACCCATCTTTTTCAACACAGAAGCCTCAAATAACAAAGAGCATCACAAACTCAGGCGTGTTGGAGTTGATTCTACAGACAAAAAACACTCAACGTCAATCGTCTCCTTGTGACACAATAGAATCACTCAAACCCTTAATCTCACTAAGAAATCATGGATTCATCCAATCAAAAGTTGAAGATGAAGAGAAAATGAACAAGCTCACAAAGAACTATCCAGAAGACGACATCCATACACGCATTTTTTTATGAACGTGTACCAATATAACATATTGGGGGTAATTTTATAATAGTTTTTATAATTTTTCAACAATTTACAGTATTTAAACAATTTAAACGCGACCTTAATTTCTTATTCACTTACTAACGATTTCAATTAAATCCCTGTTTGGTTCACATTAAAATTTTCATTATCATTCTTCTACTTATTTTCTATCACACATTTTTCAATAAAATAATATTTTTCATCACATCAATAACTTTTCCTTCTTTTTCAACCACACATTCTCCATCAATCTACTATTCCAAAATACATTCAATTAGTCAAAACCAATTTTTATATCAATTTTCATATTTTTTTAAGAGGTAAAATAGAAAGAAATACTACGGCCCTGTTTGGTACACATTATTTTTTTCATTCTCATTCTTCTACTCATTTTCAACCACACATTCTTCAATAAAATAATATTTTTCATCGCATCAATAACTTTTCCTTTTTTTTCAACCACACATTCTCCATCAATCTACTATTCCAAAATACATTCAATTAGTCAAAACCAATTTTTATATCAATTTTCAACAAAATTCAACCTCACAAAAAAGCAAGGCAAGAAATGTTTTTCTTCATATTACCTTTTTATTTCAAAGCACGTAGAGTAAATACGATCACCACTCCTTTCTTCGACTATAACTCCTAGCGTGCTCTTGCATACCTCTCACAAAGAGAAAAAAATATCACTTTTTTCTTCCATTCAGCAAATCCAATATATTGGCGGAAAATTGTCCGTACAATTATGACGACACCCTTAATTGTCTCAAATAAATCTCTATATATGTTGTAAGAACATTTTCGAGGAACTATTTTTAAAGAGTTTTTTTTTATCATAATACAGATCATCTTTAAATTTAACAAGTGCTCCATCAAACTCTTTATTTTACTTTTTTTCAACATTCAATTAGCCCTTGTTTGGTCCTCATTATTTTCAAAATAGATTTTTCTCTTATTTTTAATCGCACATTTTTCTCAATCAAATAATATTACATGCAAATCTAAATTTTCTTATTATTATTTTTTAACAGCACATTTTTCATCAAAATATTATTCCAAAATGTATTTTGTGGAAAAAAAAATTGCAAAAAATGGAGCTCAAACATGCTCTTATTGTTTTCCTCATAGATGTCGATGACTAAAATATTTTATATAATATTAATAATTTAAATTTTTAAGCATTGAAACTTGTCTTATAAAAAAATTGAAAATAAAGAATCTTTTAAAAATTAAAGCATTTCACTTTTAAAGAGCATATTGAATATTTATTGCTCTAAAAGTGGGGAAAAAATACATGCTGTTTCCATAAAACAGAAAATTAAGAAAGAAAAATGACATAATTTTGCAACTTGAGTAAACTAGAATTGTCCAGAATTCTCGGGCAGGGCCCACTGACATGTGATCCACGTGAATTATGAATTTCATTTTCCAAGATCCAACTGGGCTTGAATTTTCAAGAAAACATAGAATATTGGGGGTAATTTTTATGATTATCAAATCGATTATGAAAATAACTGGTCATGTGTATAGACTGCTGAATGCATTGTCTTCTTCCCAAATAATTGTTTACAGCTTGATTTTTATAGAAATATATAAATAAATTTGTTGTGTTATATATGTGCTCAAAGACAAGAGAATACAACAGTAAACTCATTATATTTCTTATAAATTTGGATCTTAAAATTTATTTTTTACGGTTCATCATTTCATTTACAATGATATCTACCCGTCCCTCTTCAATTTTATCAAAAAAATTTAACAATAAATGTTCCAATTATATATATCTTCATTTCCAAATTTTATTTTCGTCAATGAATTCAAAATTTTATATATGCACTCCAAGATACGGAGCATCAATACCAACAAAAAAAAAATACATCGATGACACTTCAAAATCCACCATGATAATTATCCTAAGGTTAAATTCTGCACCAAATACTTATCCATTTTTTTGCCGATGATAGCACTGAGATTTCACTCAGTCAGCCCTTAAATTTGCACAAGTATGTACGTACGCTAGGGATAGATTTCACAAGATTTAAGGCAGCAAAGTAAAGGAATTCAATGATTCAACTTGTATATTACTCCACATTAATATAAGAAAACAAAGGAAACATTGAAGGAACACAATACATACTATGCCTCATCAATTTGCACCTTCAGAAATATACAAAATTCGTAGGCAATTAACACCCTTAACAGCAAAGGGATCAATCAACCCATGTCATTCTAAACTACGAAGAAACTACCTCCCATGCCTTTTCCCAGCAATTGCCCATATTTTAAACTTGCCGGACCAAGAAAATCGCCTAGCACATGTGCTTGTCTTGGACATCCATGCATTGCTAAATTCCGTCAACACACAATAGCTTGACACCCGCCAAATTGAAGCAACACACAATAGCATGACACACGCCAAACACACGTTTACCCTGCAGCCAAGACCAGAAATGTGCACCATCAAAACATTTGACTTTAAATTAAATTTTTACCAATTTCAAGCTACATAAAACAAGATTTAGGTCATGTTTTGTAGAGACTAAAATCAGATTAAAATTGAAAAATTAGCCGTTATTATTAACTTTTATTAGACGGGTGGGACCCAATAACGACTATATTTTAAATTTTAATTGGATTTTAAGCTTAACCAAACATGCAATTAAATTAATAACCGTACAAGGTCCTTGGCCAATTTTCATGTGAAATTCGTGGTTTTAGAATGAACCAAAATGGTATGGCCCCTGGATTACCAATATGATGCCAAAGTGTCGTTATATATAGCCAAGTTATTGAAAAAGTACGAAAGCTAACAAAATATCCGAACTATTGTCTCCCTTTCTTCTTTTTCTTTTTCTTTTTCTTTATTTAAACCAAAATTGTCACAAGCCCAACTTCCCTTATTTTAATGAACCATTATTTACATTCTTTTTATCATGGAACAGAAAATCCAGTTGGGGAGTCTACCTCAAGAATACCTCTCTTCCTCTTCTACCAGCTCCTCCTCGTCCGCCGCCGCGACCAAAGCTTCTTGCGGTGGTTTGAGTGCATCTCCATCCTCCACGTCTGCGTCCTCCACCTCGAACTCTTCATGCAAAGCTCAAAAAAATAAAAAAGGGGTTCGAGGAGCGAGAAGCGGCAATGAAGACGTTAGGCCCCATGGTGAAAATGGTGGCGACGAAAAGCACCCCACTTATCGTGGCGTTCGGAAGCGGAGTTGGGGGAAATGGGTGTCTGAAATTCGAGAGCCAAAGAAGAAATCAAGAATATGGCTTGGAACTTATCCCACAGCCGAAATGGCGGCTCGAGCTCATGATGTAGCAGCCTTAGCCATCAAAGGCCACTCAGCTTATCTCAATTTCCCTCATTTGGCTCATAAGCTCCCTCGCCCTGTCTCCACTTCACCCAAGGACATCCAAGCTGCCGCAGCGAAAGCGGCTGCTGCTGTCACATTCAGCCACCACAGTCACGACGGAGCCATTGAAGTTGAAGCCAAGCTGCCCAGTTCTCATTCTTCAACAAATTTGGAATTGGATAATATGCAAGAATCATTCAATTGTTCTGCAGCAACGGTTGTTGATGACCCATTTTTTGGCCTGCCGGATCTTTCTCTCGAAGATTCTTCATGGCGAATAGCTGGAACCGATATAGGATTTCAGTTTGAAGATCCATTTTTATGGGAGTGCGGAAGTTCACATTCTTACACATTAAATTAAAATTGTCATGTTTGATTGCCATTAATCGACATGCATAATATTTTACTGTGTGAACATATGGTTCAAAACAAATATGTAATTTGAAATAAAGAATGCAAAAGAGGGGCCTAATGACATGCTCATCTAAATGGACAAATCCATATGTACATAATTATTGTACATAATGGATTACATATGTCCATGTGGAAGAAATCCGGCCGTGAATGTAAAGTATGGAAAAGTCAAGAATTGTGGACTACAGATGGATACGCATCACATGTCTATTATATAATAAATTATGTAAATGATTATGTACTTATAGCATGGTCCACGAGTAATTATTTCACATTCAACGTGTTTCCTCACTTGCATATTGGATTCATTTTTGTATTTTAGAGGTCAACGCAGATTTCAATTTTAACTATAAATTTCGTAGAATCAAAATTATTACACACTTATCTATCATTCATTTTTGTCTCATAATAATTTGAAAAAATTGTAATGAAAAGAACTCAATACCGTACTTGTGAAATTGAGCTATCCCAATTGTCTTGACTCATACACAAGAAGAGATTCCCTAAAATAATTCAAACGTTCTACGTAGAAGATAAAAATAGAGGCCATTACTATTTACTTTATTTAATTTTATTTTTCTTAATTATTCTATTAAATGACAAAAAAAATAATAACTCGAACTTGTGTAGTCTCGTGTTATTTTACTGATTTAGCATAAAAATATGTACATGAATTATATGTACAAAAGCTGATGAAATATAAAAATAAATATTTAATAGTACTATTTTATAGTGATTAGTGACCTCAACATCACTATCTGATTGATAGTCTATTGCTCAATCATTTCAATGATTCATTCAGTAAATGAACAACAAAGTTGATCTCTTTGGCCCCAACAATATCTTGTTTACATATAAGCTAATTTACGATTCTCCCTATTGGGACCCCCAACACCCCATAGAGGCACAGCTAATCATGTGGGCAGCATAAAAAATTGTCCTGGGTCCAGGCTAATTAATATTATTCTCATTATATTATTTCAAAATACATTTTTTTCCTTTTCAATCATACGTCCTTCAATAAAATAATATTAAATACAAATTCAAATTTTCTTATTTTTTAATCACACATTCTCTATTAATTTACTATTCCAAAATGCATTTTTCCAATAAAATAGTGTTGAAACTTTATGAAAGGCTAATTAGCACAAAACGTCCATATCTTTGGGGTTGATTTCGAAAACCGTCCCTACCTTTCATTTCTTGGCATTTATACCCCTACCTTCCACTTTTTGTGCGCTGAACGTCCTTTTCACAACTTTTTGACAATTTTACCCCTCATTCAATTGAAACAAAAAGAAAAGAAAAGAAAAACTAAAGAATTAATTGCAATGATAACCCTAAATTTTTAAAACCTACTTTTGAGTCACAAGATACTAATATTTTGCCACCAACCAGCCGCCAACTTCAGAGCCATTTTCAGCCACCTTTCGACCACCAAAACCATCGGATATTGGCATCAACAGAAAGCTCTTAACCTCCTCTACAATCACCACCCAACAACTCCCTGAAACACCAAATAATCTTGCCGAAATCAACTCTCGAAGTCTGCCACTCGAAAATCTAAAAATCGTCGAAATCTCTACCTCTGGCCACCCATTTGATCAGAACTCTTCACCAATCATTTGCCCACAAACAGAAGACACTAACCATGCCATTAATTTAACCCAAACAATACCACAGCACGCTGAATTGGCTCTACAGGTTGTTCTTCGCGCGAGCGGATTTGGGCCAAGTTGAATTCGGATGATTTATTGTAAATTGACTCAATTGTGATGTGATCCATGTGTTTTTCTTCTTCAATTGCAGGTTGGGCAGGTGAATCGAAGATTTGTAGTACAGAAACATCAAAATCCGTTGACCAAAACTACTTGCAGAGTGCGCAAACTACAGCCATAAAATCACGACGTTCATGGAACAATTGGGCTTGACCCAGGGGTTGGGGAGGTGCGCCAGGAGATGAGGAGTCCAGCCCATGTGATCCGCGACCATGGTTCAAGCTGT